ATTTGGTGTATCCGTTTAGAGGCAGGGGGGAAAAATGGGGAAGAGAGCAAGGACAGAGGGGGGGGGGAAATACAGGAGCGGTAGGGTAGGAAAAGTTGCATTTAGACACCAATTTATGTTTGTGTCAATTGCACATTCAATCTAACTTTTTTCCTTTAAAAAAGAAAAAAAAAAAGTTATCTAAAAATCATTCATCAGGCAAAGCACACTTCTGACCATGTTGGGAGAGGAAAGGCACTGCAAAGAATAATTGTGCCCATTATCTGTTTGCAGGCATATGGAAATTCCTTTTAGAAAAATAAGTCTACCCATTCATCCGTTTAAGCACAACACTGTGCTGCGTGTATAGTCATATAGCTGATGCATCTTTAAGCCCCCCTCCCTCATTACACTTAAATAATGTTTTTGAAAACACCCAGAGATGCATATGGGGACAGGTCAGGAGGGAGTCAGACCAACATCAGCAATTTCAGTGCATTTGTAGAGAACAATTTGAGTTCTGCTTCTCATTTAACACAGAGGAGCCCCCCCACGTTGGCCATGAACTCTTCTAAGCTCTTCAGGAAGGACATCTTCTGTTTTCGGTCCAGGGTGGGAGGAGTGCTGCTTGCTGTAAGCTTGTTGAAGGCATCAGCTAACCGCTGGTAGATGACAGGATCCTGCTGGCTAGATAATAGTGTTTCAACTAACTCGGCATACTCTGCCTACAGGGGCAAAGAAAAACAGGAATGAGAGAGGCAAGATCAATTTATTGTGCAAAGCAAGAATGTGTCCAACTTTCTGCATCTATGGGGAACTTCATATACAAGTACCAGAAAAAGCTAAAGATGAACAATGGTAAAAGGTATGCGTCATGTCCAACCAAAGCCTTTCTAAGTTTTGGGTAGAGTGGAGAAGGGTTAGTTAAGTTTTGACTGCTATCTTGGACTCATTACAGAGATTTCCCATAATTTACTGTATGGTTACAAGTTTCACTAGACAGGAAGTGAGGATAATTTGCTGCAGGGTCATTGACAGAAATATAAAAATATATTTTTGCAGAGTAGGGGGAAGGCTAGAACTCCCATTCTGCTTTTGGTTGCCATCTGTGTCTCAATTGCAGATTTTCCCCTCACTTCTTGCCTAGTGAAACCATCGTCACCGACGTTAAATGTATCTAATGGAGCCCCGTGTGTATGTATGAAACAGTGCTAGCTGCACTCCAATACATAAAATTCATACCTCAAAACAAATCACAAAATCCTAATTATTACAATGCTAATTACACAGTAACTATAAAAAAAGTCCATGCACGATCTGTGCAGCTAACAGTATGTAAAACCATGGACCTTTCAATTGAATCCTCTTCCCTAATTTGCCATACAAACACCTCCACCAATCCCCCTGTAGTCAGGCACTCACCAGAATATAGACCTTACAAATAGAAGATTATTGAAGATTATTGATACATATCCAATGTTCCTCCTGTAGCCAAAGTGGCTGCTTTGGTCACTGTAGTATCACTGTAGGATTTTGTAATGATTTGATGTATTGCTTGGAGGGTAACCTGCGCTGTTTTAATCACACACAATGAATGCACTTGATTATGCAGAAACCAAAGTGTGGGTGTTAGAATTATATATCTTTATGGGGATATAGCCAAGTTTGTATCTTTGGCTTTATAACAGAAAGAGGTGCACTGAATTAGGATCGATTCATTTTATGTAAAGCTAATATTTTAAAGGGAGTTGGCCTTTTCAAATGGAATGCATAGTGTTTTGCTCTTTTGCTTTCCTTTTTTTTCAGCATTTTGCCAAATAAGAAATATCGCAAAATAATGTCATCTTTACATTTTCAGCCAGTAGGTGGAGCTCCGAGTGGCCCTCAACTGCTCAGGTCAAAAAGTCTGCCAACACATCTCAAAAGCTCAAGCATAGACAAAACTGAAAGGATTTCGAGATGTCTCTCACCCCCCAACTCCTGTTTAGAGGGGGTCATGTGACGTTTCAATTAGAGCTAAACTGGTTGCATGTTTACTGTATGCCACCAGTGACATGGGTGTGCAACTCGTATGAAATATTTCAGAGAAAACATTTTTTTACAAAAAAAAAAAAATCCAGTTTAAAAAAATTCATTAAAATAAAGCCAAAGGCAAGATAGTTTTCCTTGAGAATAACCCGAGAGGACTTTCTAAATATATCTCATTTGCCAAGTTCCTTAAATAGCAAAAATATAAATAGTTCAGAGATTGGTTTCCGTTGGCTGGAGCTCCTCCTTAAGAAGCTTCACACCGTTGCAGAACTGGATATGATAAAAGGGCAGCAGGTTACTGGGTTAAATGCTACTAAGCAAATATAGAAACATATCTGTAGCTGCGTTTAGTGGTCTGATTTAGATGAACACTATCGCTGTCTGCTCACTTTTCCATCAGCACAAAGCTATGCAGACTATTTAAGTCCCATTAACACAAGTGGAAAAAATCCTCCAACTTTTGTAAGCCAAACTCCATGAAGTTTAACGGTCCAAGAAGCCAAAATAGAAGCGAACCCCATAGGATAGAACTGGAAACATTTACAGAAGATATTTCTTGCTGGGGCCTTTACAAAAGAGCAACTCATTTCTACCTTGTCTATAAACACCAGAGTTTATAAGCATTGAACATGTTATTTTTAACATTGAGGTTGCACAAATATACCAATAATAAAATAGCTACTAAAGTGGAACAATGTGCAAAATAAAAAAGACATGGTGAAGTCTGTTGCAAGCATTAATATGACTTAGTTTTGATTTTCTGTCCCGTTTGATGGATTTAAGCTTTTGTTTGTCTTTCACTTCAAGTCCATGTCCTACATAGTAAACTAGAGCTGCAGCTAACGATTATTTTCAAAATCGATTAGTTAGCCGATTATTAAGTTCGATTAATCGGTATGCAGTATACCGCGAGCAGATGCCACAGCTGAGGCGGATCCCGACAATTATGCAGGGATCCGCCCAGCTGCGTGACTGACAGCTGGCTCTGCCTATCTAGGAGGCAGAGCCAGCTGTACCCACCCCCTCCCCCATCCGTTCTGCCAGTCAGCGCTGGCGGATCGGAGCGGGGAGGGGGGAATCCAGCCCCTCCCGTCACGGCAGAGAGCCGTGACAGGATCGAGAGGTGAGCGAACGCCGGTATGTGTTCGCTCACTTCCCGATCTACTGAGCCGACCTGTGACAGTCTCATTGTCACAGGTCGGCTAGAACTATGAGGTGAGTGAAAAGCACATAGTTCTCCTTTAACTTATGCTTACAGTTGAAGCGCAGCCTAAAAATTTGTTACGTTGTTCTGTGGAGAATGCCGACCCAGTCAAATTCGCCGACCTCACCATCTGCGCTTGCGCACACACCGGGATGAACGAGAAAACAGCCATTTATTTACAAAGCATGTATTTCTAATTGTGACAGTTCATAATATGCCATCCATGGCTGTAAATGATGGATGGCATTGTATGCACATTCACAATTAACATCAGCAGCATTCACCTTATTATGTAAAGGACTCTATATTCTTTATATTTATGTGGGTTTCCTCCAGGTGCTCCAGGCTCCCGCATACCCCAAATTGCAACTAAAGCTTAATAGTTTAATGTGGAACTGTAGTGGCAAACAGGCAAGCATGGTAACATTTCAAGACACAAGGCCACTCATCAGATAACGAATAGTGTCAAGAGTAAATGCTATCAAGCAATGTTAATGGTCCAATGTCCTCTATAAAGCTCTGCAAATAATAAAAAGGTACTATATAAAGTGGACCTACCATTTGATATTTTTTTCATGTTAAGTGCACGCCAATGTAGTAGTGTAATGATGGATTCACACCTTTACCCTGCATTACCACCATACGTGCCCTGTTGCCATTCATTTTTAACACACCACAGTGAAAGTGAGTTTTATCGCACAATGCACAGATGTATCTGAAACATCTGATTGTTGTTGTATGCTGTATTAAAAAACCTCCCAAAAAACAAAGTAACTACAGCTAACTATGCTTTATCTCCGAGAAAGGGTTAAACATGGTTTCATCAGACAGATTGCCTTTATGTTATGAGGTCTGTTGTGTTTTATTCCACAGAAAAAAAGTATCAAATGGTGTGCAGACATACATACCTGGTTCAAGCACACCAATGTGTAAAATGCTTCTCCTGCTGCCGTAGTCATTTCCGTATTGTGTTTTTGCAAAACAAGCATGTCAAAGACCAGCTGAAAAAAAGAGGGAACGGGTAAGCATCTGCCTTTTATTTTGTAATGAAAATAAATCATCAGATCTCACCTTTAGAAAGTGCCGTGTTGCTACCAGCAGTGGAGAGTCTGTGTCCTGGGCCTTTGCACACTGCTCAGCCAATGGGGTTAATGCTTCCAGGCAGAGTTGGGACACTTCTGAGCTCATCCTTATTTACGTAGAGTTAAAGTGTACATAAACCTTATAAGTGACATTGCATTCATTCTATCCTTTAATAGTAAACAGTCAATGACCTTCTGTATATCTTGTCCCTGTAGTCCCTTTTGCTAATTCTGCAGTTTCCCTGTCTCCCCATCTAGCGCTGACCACGTAAAGCACTGAAACAGATCTTTTTGTACTCACCCTAAAATCCTTTTCTTGGAGGGCACAGGAAGTCTTTCACCTTTGTGTTATTCTGATGCCTACAGAAGGATAGTACATTTGTAGAAAAAAAAAAACCTGTAGACCAGCCCAGGATAAACCCCTCCTCCTACCAGGATGGAATTTATGGAACAAGATGTGTATATGCATCATGAGTAAAAGCCCAAGGAGCACTCAAAGACCAAGTAGATTGCTCCTTGACAGGAAAGAATGGAACCTTATCCGTGTGACCACAAGCTTGAATGAAAGTCTAAATTGCCTAGAGATGGTAGAATAAAAAAAAGCTGGTACACACTAACGCGGACTATACGGGTTGACAAAAGAAAATCAGTCTTTCTGAAAGGCTTGGCTGAGAGATGGACTCGCAGCTCAAACCACATACAGACAATAGGGCTGGGCAGAGGGATAGAAGAACCAAACCCTGGTCGAGGCGAAGGACAGAAACTACCCTAGGTATGAAGAAAATGGAAAACCGGAAATGATTCCCTGCAGGACAATAATTCAGACAGTCATCTTGCAGAGGAGATGGCTACATTGAATACAACCTGGGGGTGAGAGCAGAGATAGCAATGCCTCCAAAGGGTTTAAATGACAGCTTCCAAAGCACATGGAAAACCAGATTCAGATCCCAAAAGAGTCATAGGGGAACTAATAGGGGAAGCTACATGGGAGATCCCCCTGTACAAAGGCCTTGCTCAGGACGTGAGGCCAAAAGTCTCTGAAACATGGAGGAAAGGGCAGAAACCTTGCCCTTAATAGTGCTAAGAACCATACCCTGGACAGATTCAGCTGCAGGAGGTAGAGGATTAATTCAATTGAAAACTACTAGGGTGGAAACCTATTTTAATAGTATTACATTGCGCACTGTTATTATCAGGCTGAAGGCTTACTCTGTGAATAAAGCCTCCAGCTTTCATGTGATCACATTATTGGCAACCACTCTGATTGGTTACATATTGTCAGTGACGGTCCAGTATGACAGCTGTGTACAGTGTCAGCTGCTAGCTTTCAAAGAGAGGACATAGATTACCCTATTCTCAGCATGATGCATTATGCAGGGGAATATTAAAGTGGAACTCCAGTTAATTAAAAAAAATAATTAGCCCCCCAAATAATTAAAAGATCTACTTTCCCTACATGCATTCCAGCTCTGTCATCAGCTTCCTCGTTGGTCCTGTGCCAGCAGTCCTGTGAGCCCAGCCTGTCAATGTACATGCCCCCAGGGGACGCATTTTCATGCAGGCTGGGCTAACAGTACTCCAGGACTGGGCGGCATTCACACCATGAGGGGGTGGGAAAAGTCTGGCGGTGCGCTTTAATCTACAGAATGCAGACAGAGGCTCACCTTGGTGCACTTTAGTTCTCAGCAATATAGCTTACTCAGGCCAGAGCATTAGAGTTTGTGTAAAGAAATCAGGCTAAAAGTATCTTGTTCAACAGACAATATCAGTGATAATCCTTACGTTTTAATTACAACACTGAAAGAGGAATTTTCAGACATAGTTTTTAACACCAACATGCATAACAAAGCTTCACCCTTCTTCTCTAAAAGGTAATTCGATCAGCTGTCATTGATGTGTAAAGGCAGTACAATACTTATTGAGGGGAATGAACCAAGACTGGAGCAAACAGAATCTGGAGCTGCTGTGCATGACAAATCAGCTTCTTTAGGCTTCATCTTCAAATCTTAACTGAACAAGCTGATGAAAGAAGCTGATTGGTTGCTATGCACAGCTCCTGGAGCAGAATGTGTCTGCTCCAGTTTTAGTAAATTTCTCAGGGTCTCTTTAATAAGTGCATGCCTTCTAAATAAGTGCATTTCATCAATAGGAGCCACTACAGTTCCTTAAGGTTCAAATGGAAAGGATACGAAGTCATCCCAAGCTCTAAAGAATACATCAGGCTCTTGAATAGGTCTTCAGGGAGTTGTGGAATCTTCTCAGGAAAAATCTCACATATAAATGTAATTAGCTTGTAGTACTGATTGCAAAGTGATGGAAACTAGGAGGAAAAAGAAAATTAAATAAGTGTTACAATCACCTATTCAATTCACAAATGAAAGGTAAGGAAGGCACACATCTAAAACCAGCTACGAATAAAAGACAAACCTTTAGCAGATCTTGTGACATTAATGGCAGCACAATGTTGACCCCGTATAAAACTACATCTGCCGCTGAAACCGGTCGGTTAGTTGCTTGTCCCTGCTCGTGTGGTCGAAAAACTTCATCTAAAACAGTGAAAGAATGAAGCAATGGGCATTTTATCCCCAAACATTTTATAGTGAAGGGTTCTAGCTCTGCATGTTCAATATGATCGGATTTTCTTTTCTATAATCATTCCCAGAACAGTTAATTCAATTCACTTGTTCAGTGAAGAGTGTTCCTTGTCAAAAGACTTTCCAGATGAAGCTTCACCAACATGCACACAAAAAATACAGAGCTCGGACAGCAAGGCTTGTATAACTGGTAAGATAAAACATATCTTAAAATAAACCTGCCCCTATTTAAAAAAAAAAGCCCAATAGCCTACAGAACATACCTGTGTCACTAAAGTCTATAAACTCCTTTGACAACAAATTGGTAAGAAGTTCCATTATGAGCAAGAGATCCTGGTACTGATCCTCCTCTGCAGTAACGTCAATGCGTTTCCTACCCAGATTGTTCTTGGAATACACCTGAAGCAGAGTCAGGCATGCTTCATAGAGATTCATGGCTTTGGACTGGAGGAAGATTAGAAAATATGTTTAGTGAGAAATAACCAGACATTTAGATGCAACATGCACACTAGCTATTAATGCAGTTAAGCTGCACAAAACTAGTTTGGTCCTGGCTCAGAAAGAGTCATTTCTCTCAAATTATCTTCTCCTCTTGTCATCCTATAAACACACTACTTAAGGAACCTTACATAAACGGTCTCAGTTGTTGGACATTCTACCTGAAATCTCTGCAACTAGAGCTTCTCTGCTCCAGCTCTATGACTAGGCTCATTAAAATTAAAAGGAAAGCAGCTCTGTTAATGTTTACCAAGACGGTAATAAATGTGGAGGTTCCATCCCCACACTACCCATATTTGCATCACTTCCATTAAAAACGCCTGAGATGAACTTATATCTTCTTCTTTCAAAACATTTAGTGACTACTATTCTACTTTATATAACCTGGTGGAGATGGAGCTTCCCCCTGATAAAAGGCAAGCACTTGACTTTCCTTTCACAGATGAGTGACCCATGGCAAAGATCTGATCTACTGCATAATGCCTTGTGATCCCCCCACCCCCCCCAGCCCTTCAATTTTATTGTTCTGTAAACGCTGTTTATTTCTGCTTAAAATCCAATAAAATCAGACTGAGCAAAAAAACTCTACTATAATGTGTTTTTGTGTCTTTCCTGGCAGAAGTGAGGGTAAATCTCCTGTTCATCAAAATCATGGTTGAGGCTCTAATTCTTGTCCACTCTTATCCAAAACAAAATAAAATATTTTGACTGGGATTAGGATTTTAGCTTTGGACAGAGTGGGTTTTATCCTCAATTTCTGTCATCCAGCACTGGGACAGGAGGTAAGAAGAGTATATTAATAGAGACGCTCATTGCAACACATATATTTCTCATTTAGAATGAGAAAGTGTTACAGCTAAGATAGCAGGGTTTTAAATTAAACAGTGTACCGAATCTAAAAAAGGATGCTAGCTGACAGGAAGAAAAGTCAGAGTGGTTACCTCAGCAGTATGTTGATACTGCTTTATCGGCAGGCCATCTAATCAGGTTTAATGTGAACAAAAGCAGTCATGTTCCATAGGTATGCACAGATCCAATGCACAAGGTGTGTAGACTGCACATATTACAAGAGTTGCACATGCCTTAATACGTGTTTCTCCATCTTTTTCAGTCACTTTAAAAGTATGAAAAAATCTCAAGGCACCTCAGTCTAAAATGTAAATGTAAAAAAATGACACATGGTCCCTACAAAATCCATACTGCACCCTTACCTGAGATAAAGGGGTCTGGTATGGATTTTAAGGCTGACCCTTTGCAGAACACAAAAAGAGTCCCTCTTTCACATCACAAACTGCCCTTCACACAGATCTTATGAATGAATCCCACTCTCCCTGGATTAGCGTAATTTGTTTTCAAGGTGCTGGCGGCTGGCCCATCTACTGGAAAGGGATTTTGCTGTGTAAATATGTCAAGGCACCCCTGAGGGATCCAGAAGGCAGCCTGGCTGGAAAGCTGCTTTAATGTGATTTCATTTCACTTACCTCTCCAAGGTAACAAATCTGTTTATGTGCAACTTCTACAAAAACTTCTATAATTAGGTTCACAGTCTCTGGGGTATTCTTGTAGACTTCCATTAGCCCAATACAGTTAGTTAAAAAGTCCATAAGGAAATTGAAGAGGATTGCAACATTGTCAATTTGAGTGGCCTCTGCAATGCCACACAGGGCCTCCAGCGTGGCTGTGATCTCCTGCTTCACCTCCTCTTCTTGGCAAATCTGCTGGAAGTTTTCTTGATTTATCACATTCAAAAACCTCTGTTGAAGAGGTTGGAGCACCTGTTAGACAAACAATATGCGGTCAGTTTCTCCGGCTTATAGGCAGTATTTCTATACAATGTCATCTTTTAGCAACATTTTAGTTTTATTTATAATGTGCATAAAGCTTTTTTTCCTTCTGTTCTGTGAGTCTAGAGTTTCTTTTATGTTCGTAACATTTTGTTTTTGTGTCCTTCATAATTCCAAATGATTTTCAAAAGCAACTGTAAACATTCAAGGGGAATGTTTGCTTTCTTGTGTTCAGAACTATAAAAATAAAAATCACAAAAATAACTCTTCATTCTTTCAGCTAGGTAAACATGGAAAGGGCATATAAATATTCTTTGTTTACTTCCAGCAAGAAAATGGAAATCCAGGTGCTTTTTTACAAATTTATTTGATCATGCAGAGTTATGTTCCATACCTCATGGGCTGCCCCTCAGTGTTCAAAAGGCAAGTAAAAAAATAAATGGGGAGAGTTGTATGAGGGGTGAGTAAGGGGGATTCATGTATCCCAGTGTGCCCGAGAAGATAATAAAAGGTATGTGCAAGCATTTCATTTAGGCTCACGCTGCACAAATCTTTATAATGAAAAACAAATTGGTGTGGGAAGGTGGGAGTGAAAGATTTGTGCTTTTTTAGTGATGCAGTCTGCTGCAATGCAAAGATGTACATCGCAATCAGAAATAGAAATTTGTCTTGTAGTTTCCTGCAGTAATATGTTCTTTACCAAGGAGATGCACACATATTATGTGCCCTGACACTTACACACTACCTGCTATGCCCTCTCACCTCGGTCCAGTACTGTTGTTTGGTTTCCGAGTCCATGTGAGCAAATCCTCCCAGTACCAGAGCTTTCATGAGCGTCCTCTGCACAGAGCTGGACAGGAAGTGAAGGGGAGGACTCCTCCGCGCAAACTGCTTCGCCAAATTCCACCAATTTTCACACTGTATTACCAAATTAGCCCTGCAAAGTAGAAGGCCAGAATCAGAAAAAAAGAGACAGCTATGGGATGATGCCAAGCAGGATAGGGAAAGATAATACAGTAAATATTTGCAGTGAGATGCCTTCACTAATGTTCCTGGCCCTGCCCAATCTCGAGGTGGGGTGCCACTCTTTACAACAGGAGTCTTAACACTCTTGCTACATTTTCTGTAAATTAAAAAACCCAACAGGTAGATTCATACCTGTTCATAATGGGCATGGCGGTTGGATGAAACTAGAAAAGCTCAGGTTACAAAATCTAACACTTAACATTTAAACCATTTTAGGTGAATGTCAGACGCCCCTGCTGACACGCTATAGATCCTGTAGAGGCTTCAGCAGTGAGAAATCCCAGTTAGATTTATTTGTTCTTATTCTTTTACATAGGTGCAATGGGGACACAGTTACATAGGGAAGGGTTTAAACCTGATCAGGTTTTATTGTTGTCTGTGAACCTGCTGGAGAGATACACCCTATTTGCTTTGGTGACCATCATCATTGGGGCAGAAACTGACAGAAAAGCCTCCATTTTACAGCTGTCATTGGAACAGGAGGTAAGGGGAAATCGCTGAATGGGGACAACTCTTTTTGTGACACCTAAAAGGTGGTTTCTCCTCTCCTTGAGGGATTTACTCTCAATTCCTGTTGTGTCTGCAGGACATTTTGGCATTTTAAATGCATGTGAAACTGCAATATGAATTACAACACCTGTACCATTAAGAGTCAATAGCACTCGAATCGTATGAAGAAAAAATAGGATTTTGGATACTCTAAGTAAAATCCTTTTCTCTCTGTTCATTGAAGGACACAGGTAACAGATCGGAGATCATGTACTGTAGGTAATATCGCCACCTGCAGGAGAAGGACGCTAGGCACAAAACTAAAGACCAATTACAGCCTAGGGGCGGCCCCTGCTGGTGGCCAAACCCCCCACCTGCTGACAAGTCTCCAGTTAGTAACAAGCAGTAAAGGAGTACACACCCACACAGAGGGGCGGGCCCTGTGTCCCTCAATGAACGAAGAGAAAAGGATTTTATGGTGAGTACCAAAATCCTATTTTCTCTCCCGTTCATTGAAGGACACAGGGAACAGATCGGAGATCATGTACTGTAGGGACGTCACAGAGCAGTACCAAAAAAGAGGGGTGGGTCAACAGAAACAACAAACCCAACGAAACAAAAAAATCCCCTCAAACGGCCGCCCGCAACACTTTGCGCCCCAAACCAGCATCCGCAGACGCCAAAACATCCACCTTATAAAACTTGACAAAGCTGTGGACAGAAGACCAAGCCGCGGCCTTACAGACCTGAGAAACGGAGGCACCATGACGAAAAGCCCAAGATGCCCTAACAGCCCTTGTAGAATGGGCCGTAACAGAAAAAGGAGGCTCACGCCCCTTAATAGCATACGCCTGAGAGACCGTGTCGCGAATCCATCGAGAGATGGTGGCCGACGAGGCAGCCTGGCCCTTCCGAGGGCCATCTGCAACGACAAACAGGGAATCCGATTCCCGAAACGCAGCCGTAGCACTCAGGTAAACCCGGATGGCGCGGACCACGTCCAGACAGTGCAGTGCCCTCTCCTTCCTGTGGACAGGCTTCGGACACAAGGAAGGCAGGACAATGTCCTCATTGAGATGGAAAGCCGAAACCACCTTCGGCAAGAAAGACGGCCGAGGCCGCAGAACCACCTTGTCCCGATGCAGGACCAGCAACGGGGACGAGCAAGAGAGAGCCGCCAATTCCGAAACCCTGCGGATCGAGGTGACCGCCACCAAAAAGGCCACTTTTTGAGAGAGAGTCAGAATCGGAATGTCCCGCAGAGGCTCAAAGGGAGATTCCTGCAACACTGAGAGCACCAGATTCAAATCCCACGGCGGCAACGGGGAGCGAACAGGGGGAACGATACGTGTAACCCCCTGCACAAAAGTGCGAACGAAAGCGTTGGAAGCTATCGGCCGTTGAAAAAGGACCGCCAAGGCCGAAATCTGGCCCTTGATCGTACTCAAGGCCAAACCCTGATCCACACCCCGCTGTAAAAAGGCGAGGATCCTGGCAACTGAAAACAAACGAGGCGGAAATCCTACCGACTCACACCAGGCAAAATAAGCCTTCCAAGTTCGATAGTAAATCCGTCGGGACACAGGCTTGCGAGCCCGCAACATCGTAGAAATAACCGCATCCGAGAGACCACGATCCCTCAACACCTGGCTCTCAACAGCCACGCCGTCAAAGCCAACGACGGTAAAGACGGATGGAACACCGGACCCTGAGATAGAAGATCTGGACGGAGCGGCAGGCGCCCGGGGACGTCCGCCACTAACCGAACCACATCTGCGTACCACGCCCTCCTCACCTTCCACCGCGACCCTGCAAAGAAGACGCGACAACAGATACAGTGGAGGGAACGCGTAAATCAGACCGTAGCAATCCCACGGCGCCACCGCATCCGTCCAAGGATCCTGGCCCCGAACCGATCGACCCGCCGATTGAGGCGAGACGCCAGGAGATCCACGGCCGGGAACCCCCAGCGAAGGCAGAGCTGGTGAAACACCTCCGGATGTAGCATCCATTCTCCCGGGTCCACCGACTGGCGACTGAGATAGTCGGCCTGCCAATTGTCCACGCCCGGAATGTACACGGCGGAGA